ATAGAGTATAATATAAATTTTAATTTATCAAATTTATCATATAGCTATTATTAAATGTAAAAACATCTTAATTTTTTATTTTTAAATATCATTACTTATTATTTATAAAATAATTTTTTTAACCTTTACTTTTTAAGATACTAGTTTAATTTATTTTTTCATTATAAATCTATATAAAAATATAAAAATTAATATTAATTTTAATATCATTATCACACAAATAAATTTAATTAATTTTTATTTTTACAATACAAATTTATTATAAAAAATATATTTGGGTGGTGCTACCAGGATAACATTTTTATCTCACTTTTTTATATAATTTTCACATATCATTAAATAAGTAAATGTATTCAATATCATAAATTCTACATAAATTAAAAGAATCAATCATTTTAATGACATATTAAATTGTACAAAAAAAATATAAAATAAAATAATTGTCCCAATAACATTTTACTTATGAGATTACATACATTAAGAAAAACATTTATTAAAAAAAAAAATGGTTTGCGTGGTCATCAATTTGTGAGGCGGACATAACCATTGCACATTTCCTTGGCAGAACTTGAAAAATAAATTTGTTTTAAGCAAAATTTTCATTTATAAATTAAAAAATATTTAAAAATTAACTTTTAAAAATAATATTTTAGCAAATTTTTTTAAAATTAAACATTTAACTAATGTTTTAAATAATTTTGTGATAATTTATTTTTATTAAAAATAAAAAATTTTATTTTTTGTATGCAGTTGCTATGTATATGTAAATAATGTGTTCTCTTACAAAAATTCTAGATCTAGCAGTGCAAGAGTGAGTGGGGTGGGGTTTTGATTCCCGCCCTCCTCCCCCCCCTCTTTTTTTGTTGGATTGATTCGTGGTTTTGATTCCCCCTTTTTTTTTTGTTGGGTTGATTCGTTTAGCACAAAGCACCCCACCTCCCCACCTCTCTTTTTTTTTTTTTTTTGGTAATTTTCAAGTTTTATTGGTTGCTACTTGCTAAGTATTGACTGCTTTACCATAAAGCAGGAACAAGGAACTTTTGACTAAAGGTCGAGTCATTTCTTTCGGGGATGGTTACCCAGATTTATTGTTCGGCACATAAATTTTTAAATTT